TGACGTGGCAGGGCACCCACCGCCCACTCTGCCAGGGCTGGGATGGGGCGGGCGGGGAGGGGGGAAAAACACCCCCCAGATTCCCTTCTTCATCAGCAGCCGCTTGCGGAGCTGAGAGTTATTGCCGGCTGGGATAAACGCCTGGATCATCAATAATTGTCTCATCCACAGAGTAGTTTCATGGCTGTAATCATTCGCCCGGGTTCTGTGTGGGCACTTCAGATGAACTTTGAGGCTAAGTTGGATGGGGTTTGGGGCAACCTGGGCTAGCAGAAGGTGTCCCTGCCCAAGGCAGGGGGTGGCACTGAAGGAGCTTTAAGGTCCCTCCCAACCCAAACCATTCTATGACTTTCAATCGCTGGTCCCTTCTGATGGGACCAAGCTTCAGCATCACCTCCCTCTGGTGCCAGTCACCTAATAGCACCCACAGGTGTGAGGTTGGGCACGGCCAGCTGCTTCCCAAAACATATGTGAGAAGCAAAACCCCAGTTCCTCTCCATCCATCCACTGTCCACCCACCCAATCCATTCATCCATCCACCCATTCACCATCCATCCATCCATCCACCCATCCATCATCTATCCATCCACCCATCCACCATCCATCTACCACCCATCCACCAGCCATCCATCCACCTATCCACCATCCATCCATCCATCCACCTATCCACCATCCATCCATCTATTCATCCACCCATCCACCATCCATCCATCCATCTATCCACCTAGCCATCCACCATCCATCCATCCATCCACCCACCCATCCACCCATCCACCCTCTATCCATCCACCACCCAACCATCCACACATCCATCCATCCATCCATCTATCCACCTAGCCATCCACCATCCATCTGTCAATCCACCCATCCATCCACCCATCCACCATCTATCCATCCACCACCCATCTACCACCCATCCATCCATCCACCATCCACACATCCATCCATCCATCCATCCATCCATCCATCCATCCATCCATCCTTCCATCCACCACCCACCCCAGGAGAGCCCAGCACCCTGCTGAGCATCCCAGCTCCTCCTCCCTCCAGCCCAGGTGGGGCGGATGAACCTATATTAGGAGCTCTGCCAGCAGCACCTGCCCAGGGCAGGGCTCAGATCCTGCCTGCACCTCCTGCTGCCTGCTTGTCCCTCCAGAAGATGCAGCCAAGCGACAGCAGCTCTCGCCCATTCAAGCAGAGGAAAAGCCTCGGTATGTTATTGGGGACAAGGGGAGCAGCAGAGCAGAGACATGGTGATGGGCAGTGCTTATTGCTCCTTCTTTTCTCTTCCACAGCCACCAGGATGCACGAAGTGACTGAGATCCGGATAAAATATCCCAACAAGATCCCGGTAAGGGTTGTGCCCCTCTCTCTGTGGGGTAAGCTGTGGGAGTCTTTGCTCAAGACTTTGTGGCTTGACTCTGAAGACCACAGCTCTGCTTCTCTGGGTGCCCCTGTGAGAGAGGTCCCAAAGCTTCCCAGTCCCTGTGTCCCCCTCCAACATCTCCTCCCCACTGCAGGTGGTTGTGGAGCGCTACCAGAAAGAGAAGACCTTGCCTCCCTTGAATAGGACCAAGTTTCTGGTGTCCCAGGACCTACCCCTCTCCCAGTTTGCTGTCACCCTGCGGTAAGTGGTTAATGACATGGTGGGGTCAAGGCTTGCTTGGGGCAAAGCAGGGGGCGTCCACAGCCCTGGACCAGTGCAGAAACCCAGTCTAGATACAGCTGGTCTGGTAAACTAGCTTGGCTTGGAAGCCGCTTTGGCTTCTCCACTGGGCAAGTGTTTGGTGGGCGAGTGTTTGGACTGAACCTCATGCAATTAGCCTTTCCAATTAGCAAAGAACATTTGTTTGCTGAGGCATGGGGGTGCCTTAATAGCAGCATTCCTCCACCCTTGCTGGGATGGAGGGTGGGGGTGTGACACTGGGGTGACAATTAGCTCTCTTCCCCAGAGAGCTGCAGCATAGATGAATCGTTAATTGGGGGTAGGTGATTAGCAGCCCTGCCAACGAGCAGCACTGTTGCACCTGACTTGAAACCTTTGTGCTCTGGGCTCTGATTGAAATCCTCCCCAAGGACCAACATCTCCTGGCAGCACAGCCCAGGACAGAGAGAGGTGAGAGCTGGAGGTTGGCCCTCAGAGATGTTTTGGGGAGCTGCTGGCCATGGCCTGGCACCCACCTTCATGCCTGTGGGTGGGTGGCACCAGGGGGAGGTGGTGCTCAAGTGGTGTTCCCCATGGCTCAGTGCTGGGGTTGGTTCTCTTCAATGTATTTATCAATGACCTGGATGAGGGGATTGAGTGCGCCCTCAGTAAGTTTGCAGAGGACACCAAGTTGGGAGGGAGTGAGTGTTGACCTGCTTGAGGGTAGGAAGGCTCTACAGAGGGATTGGGACATTGGATCGATGGGCCGAGGCCAATGGTGTGAGGTTCAACAAGGCCAAGTGCTGAGTCCTGCCCTTGGGTCACACCAACCCCATGGATGCTACAGGCTTGGGGAGGAGTGGGTGGAAAGCTGCCCGGCGGAGAAGGACCTGGGGGTGTTGGTGGGCAGCCGGCTGGATACAAGCCAGCAGTGTGCCCAGCTGGCCAAGAAGGCCACCAGCATCCTGGCTTGTATCAGGAACAGTGTGGCCAGCGGGACCCGGGGCAGTGATCGTCCGCCTGGACTCGGCCCTGGTGAGGCCCCACCTCGACTGCTGTGTTTGGTCTTGGGCCCCTCAGGACAAGAAAGACATTGAGGTTGCTGGAGCGTGTCGAGAGAAGGGGAACGAAGGTGGTGAGGGGTCTGGAGCACAAGGAGAAGGGTCTGGAGAACTTATGAGGAGCAGCTGAGGGACCCTGGGGGTATTCAGCCTGGAGAAAAGGAGGCTGAGGTGAGACAGATCCAGCCTGTCCAGATCCCTCTCTAGAGTACCTGAAAGAAGGTTGTGGTGAGGTGGGGGATGATCTTTTCACCCAGGAGACAGGACAAGAGGAAATGGCCTCAGGTTGTACCAGGGGATGGATATTGGGAACAATTCCTTCACCGAGAGGGTTGTCAAGGCTGCCCAGGGAAGGACTTGAGTCACCATCCCTGGAGGGATTTGAAAGACACGTAGAAGTTGTCCTGAGGGACGTAGTTTAGTGGTGGAGTTGGCAGCGTTGGGTTAATAGTTGGACTTGATGATCTTGAAGATCTTTTCCACGCTCAATGTTTCTATGACATTTCTTTATAGTAGCTCATATGGTGTTATGGTTTGGATTTGTGCCGAAAACAGAGTTGGTAACCCAGGGATGTTTTTGTTACTGCTGAGCAGTGCTTCCACAGCACCGAGACCTTCTCTGCTCCTCACACCGACCCACCAGTGAGCAGGTTGGGGGCGCACAAGAAGTTTTGCGGGGACACAGCCAGGACAGCCAGACTCCAACTGACCAAAGGGACATTCCGTAGCATATGACATTGTGCTCAGTGATAAAACTGGGTAAACATCTGCCTGCTGATGGGAAGGAGTGAATTAATTCCTTAATTTTCTTTGCCTGTGCGCACAGGTTTTGCTTTACCCATCAAACTGTCTTTATCTCAAAGGTCCAGTCTTCAAGGTCAGGTTGTACGGGATTTTGAGCAACCTGACCTAGTGGAAGATATCCCTGGCTGTGCCAGGAGGTTGGAACTAGATGGTCTTTGAAGGTCCCTTCCAACCCAAGCCATTCTGTGAAGCCGAGTCCCTTTGGGAGGGACCACAAGCACCACGTCTGCGTGGATGGGTCCTCCCTGGGGAGCCTCCCCCATCGTCACGCTGCCTGGTGCTGCGCAATACTCACCCACGCGCTGTCTTCACCTTCCTCTTGGCAGGACGCGGCTCTGCCTGGCCTCCTCCCAGACCTTCTACCTGTTGGTGAACAACAAAGGGCTGCCGAACATGGCGGTCACCATGCAGGAGCTGTACCGTGACAACAAGGATGAGGATGGCTTTCTCTACCTGACCTACGCCTCCCAGGAGATGTTCGGCAGCTCTTCCTCCAGCTGAGCCAGCAGCTGCTTGACCACAAAACCACCCGCCACCACCGTGTCCATGTGTCCACTTGTCTCAGGACTCCAATGCTGGTGAGATCGGGGACGTATCTCTCCAAATTCGGCTTCAAATCTGTGGGGAGCCCCAAACTGTGGCCGGACCAAACCTCACCTTCTCTCTGGCTGCAGTTTGACAGGCTCAGCTTTGTGACGGTCTTAAAAACTCCGCTCAACACCTCCTTGATTTTTGTGGTTTTTGGTCACAAATTATTCTCCCAACACAGCAGAAGATGGTGCTGGTTGACTCTGATCCGTGGGGAGGTGGTTCTTCTAAGAGGGGCTTTACAGCCTGGCCTCCCTGCCCAGAAAACTTGGGTTCCTTCTAAGCGTTTCTCCTAACGGGATCAGGTTTTGAGGGGTTTTAATGGTTTGTGCAGGTTTTTGTTGAGCTGTGTGTCCGCTCTAGCTGCGGCTCGAGCATCCGTGCTCTTGAGATGTGGAATAAAGAAAACTTGGCCGGTGCTTCCCGTCACCTCAACACCGCTCGTCCCTCGGATGCGGAGCCAACCTTAACCCTTGTCCTGGGCTTTGCTGGGGTGAACTGGGAGGGCAAGAGCACGGGGAGGGGAAGGCTCTCTACTCCCACCATGGCAAAAGCAGCCTTGGGAGGGACTCTCCTGCAGAAGAGCAGCTCCCCATCTCGCTCCCTTCGGCAGAATTGGGGGGGTTGACCCCCTACCAGCCCCCCAAGGATGGGGGGGGACACGTGGGTACGAGCTGCATCAGAGCTCAGAGGGCAGCGCGGTGCTGTGAGTCAGACATAAACCCTTCCTGCCACTGATACCGCAAAGCGCCTCTTAAATATTTAAGGCTTTCCCTCGCCGTAAAATGCATTGTCACACCGGGTGAATATTTCATGCACGTTTTGCGTTAAAATGTTAATAAATAAGCTCTAAAATTAGCTGCCACAACAGCAGGAGCCGGCGCGCTGATGGGCTTGGAGGGGCGCGGGGGG